TTGTTGGAAGAAAACCTGACTGGACTATTATTATAAAAGCAATCTCCGTTCCTAACCCTAAAATGGGCATTTTAAACAGTTATTCTGAAAATAGAATTTTGTGCCTAAGCGTTCATTAGGCATTGCAGGTCACTTGGCTAACCCTTTGCCTTTATCATAAGGCAGGCTCTCATACAAGTCTTGCTTTACATCAACGTAGGTTTTTGACAGAATCAGGAGTGCAGAGTTTAGCTCCGACTGTACCTCACTGAGGAATCTCACCCAAAGTGAATCTGTAAGAAATTTTGGGATGCCAGAATTTGGATGGCAGGAGGGTGGGCTTTTTCCAGTGTGTGCCACATTGAGAGAACATGGTTCCGCCTTTCTTGTTTGTGTTGTGATGGAGGTAGATCTGTGCATTTCCACCCAAGGGCTGCAGGTTCTTTGTCTTCCATTTTGTGCTGGAACAAGTGTTTTGAAGACAGATCTGATATCCAGATCACTGAAGTGATCCATTTCTCAAAATGTTGCAGTTGTTCTCTTGGGGTTTTTTTGTTGAGTATTTCTGAGGGGTGGTATTTTGGGTTTTGCGTGGGAGGGGCATTATGTTAGTTTGTAGAAACACGTTTGCGGCTGTGAAGGACGTAGATGGGAATGGAGGGGGGAAATGGAAGAATCCTAATCAAGTTTCCCTACCACAAGCACCCTCGTATTTTGTAAGGAGAAATAAGTGATGGACTTCCAAAGGCCATTTTTCTGTCTTGCTCTGAGAACACACAGACCTCATATAGGAGCAGTAGGGACTTGCTCAGTGTCTTTCTTTCACTCCCAGGAGTGAGCTACTAAAGGGCCAAAATCCAGGGCATTCCAAATAAACATTTAATTGTCTTGCCTCTTTGCTGGTCCTTTGGCACATAGAACATACAATCACAAAATCATTTAGTGGGAATGGACTTACTGAGATCATCTGGTCCAACTCCGTGCTCAAGCAGAGTCACCTAGACCAGGTTGCCCAGGACCATGTCAGGTTTTGAATATCTCCAAGGATGGAGGCTCCACGGCCTCTCCGTGAAACATGTTCCAGTGTTTGACCACAATTACAGTAAAAAACCCCAGTTTTCTTGTATTGAGATTCAATTTGCTATTTTAGAATTTTTGCCTGTTGCTTCATGTTCTGTCAGTGGACACTAGTGAGAAGAATCTGACTCCCTCTTTGTTCCCACCATTCAGGTATTTATACACCATTGGTAAGATCTCCCTGAGCCTTCTCTTCACCAGATAGAACAGTCTCAACTCTTGGCATCTCCCCATATGGCAGATGTTCCAGTCCACTAAACCAGCCCTGTGCTGGACTCGCTGCAGTAAGTCCATATCTTTCTTGTACTGTGGAGCCCAGAACTGGACCCTGCGCTCCAGATGGGACCTCACCATTGCTGAGTAGAGTGGAAGGATCAGCTCCCTCCACCTGCTGCCAGTGGTTTTCTTAATCCAGCTCAGGCGATTGTTGGCCACCTTTGCCACAAGATGCGTTGCTGGCTCATGTTCAGCTTGCTGTCCACCATCACCTGAAGGTCCTTATCTGCAGAGCTGCTTTCCAGCTGGTTGCCCCCCGCCATGTACAGAGGTGCCTGAAGTTAGGAGAACCATGTGTGACTACGTCGTGGCACATCTAGCTGAGCTTCTGTCTCCAGCTGCTGTAATATTCAGCTGTTAGAGACAAGCAGAATAGTTAACTAGGTAAAAAACCAAAACAAAACACCCTCTTTCTGATTATTTCTGTTCTTCAAGTCTTAATTTCCTCTTCAGATGTCCAAAACTGCTGTTATTCTCCAAAATCTCCTAGGCTTTCCCTTACATCAGCCCTGTGGTAGTCATTGACTGTCCTTTTGTCCTACAATATACTCTTAGTTTCTAACCTTTCCTATAGGAAGGCAAATGGTTTGTAGTATCTGCCTTTTGTCTCTTTTCTCTCAACATCTGTGCTAAAAGAACAGCAGAAACAGTGATGAGCCCATTTTTTTCCAAAAATTAAGTAACTCCACAGTAATTAGATTGGCTTTTTATCTCCTTGTAAATCATGGACTCGTGATGCTCAAGTCTTTTAAAGAGGGAGAGAAAGTCGAATAGGTGTCTTCAAGACAACATTAGAGCTGCAGCATTGTTGCAGAATATGGATTGTGTTTGCCTGAAGCTGTTCCCAAGGACTTTAATTGACTGCTCATGAGACATTAGAGAGATTTTGTCAGTTTTTCACAGGAAGACAGCAGGACCAGAAAATGGTCCTGGTTGAAACTTGTTTTGGCTCCTGCCTTTGATACTGGCTCAATATTTGCAGCACTGGATAGAGAATTTAAGCATGAAGGACACATTTACATGTGGACCCATGCAAAACTAAGGGTTTTTTTCATTTTTTTTAAATGGGTGAAGCTCATATCCGTAACCTCTGTACATGGATAGAGACTCTGTGCTCAGGCTTGTACCATGTATTTTGCCGAGCCATAAAGGCTCTTTTGACAGTTATGAGTCTACAGCTGGTTGTGGTATTATTTATGAGATTATCGAAACTTGCTGTAGGTAGACTATGCAGTCATCTTTCTTGTTGCTCCATCTTCCTGTTGGTTAGTTTCTTTCCCCCTGTCACCTTCATTTTCCTCCATCCTTCAAGATTTCTGATCCAGTGGCAGTGAAATGTTTCAATTTTGCTTTTCTCTCTACCTGAAAAGAATTTTCTAATCACTTGGGTTATTACAAATAACATCATGTAGTCAGAGACTGCACATCAGAAGTAATTAAATTTCAGAGGCTTCATGGTGTTTATGAACTGAAAAATTTCTTTTTTACCAGTTAGGTTTTCAGCAGAGCATCATGATTAAATTGCAGAGTGGTGGACAGTCCAGGACTGCTTACAAGAAAATAATAATGTTTCTTACTTCAGAGACGATGCAAAGCATAATTAATTTGCCCTTGTACAGTGCTTTGAGATCTTAGGATAGGAGAAGTTTTGCGTGTACTGCTATTACTTGTAATCAGAGACAGAATCCCGTTAGATTAATAGAACTGTCCAGAAATTAGAAGTATGCCTGAATACTCCTGGTGAATGTATTAAGAGTTAAGACATCATACGAAATGTATGTAAATACATAAAGATGAACTTTTGAGGAACTGATAACAGAATCAAAAGCAGGCAAAAGGTTTTTCAAAGGCATAACTGTGACTACCTGAAATACCAGTGATTTGTAGAGCTTTCCCATGGTCGTCTCTAGTTGCAATTTTTCAAAAGCAGCAGCTCACTTTTTACAGTCACGTAACCTGAGGGTGTCTTTTTTTTTTTTCCCCTTGACATTGCATTGACATCAGAGTCAAGTAAAACAACATCTAATAATGGATGAGCTCTGTAAAGGATAAAGCCTGTCCTTGTGCATTACCCTTCCTCTGCTTTGTATTTTTGAAATTGTGGTATTTCGGCGTCAGCCTGTTTCATTTCCCTTGCAGTGAGTTTCTGGCTCTCTTGGAGATCATTTGATGATCTCCTGCTAGAAATGATCTTACTTCTCTCTCCCTTGACCCACTTGCGTTTGCCTTTTGGGGTCCTTGCCCTTCAGCCATACCTGTACAGGATGCCTCAGTGTGGATGGGGTGAGCCCTAGGAGTTGTTCACATGGTCACTGGTTTAGAGCTTCAGCAGTCTCCGACTTGTCTCACGCTTGCTTTGCTCTCCATGTAGCATAACCTGTGGAAAAGAAGATAAGGTTGGTTGTCTTGTTGAGCTACACCCAGTCCTTGCCCTTGATTCATCAGTGGATGGTCTTACTGACATAAGATTATGTTTATCAGCAGAAAGGCTGATGTATTGATAGTACAAACTGTGCTTATTCCCACGAGAGACTAGTCATCAGAACAAAAAGCTCTACTGCTTAGGAAGCCCAGCTACTTAAACTTGTGTATGTCTCAGCAGTTGCCACTGTCCTACCTTCACCTGCCCGTCTGCTCAGCACTGCTGCACCCCTTGTAGTCTTGCTGCCACCAGCTGACACCTTCCTGCTGTTGTGTCAGAGGAGGTGGAAGGTCTTTTAACAGGCAGAGCCATTAGCCGTCATTTTCTTCCTGAGTGCCTTGCAGGAAACCTGAACTAGACAATGGCAAATAAAATGTGGAAAACTCTCTTTTTTCAACCAAATGAAGTATTTTTACTGAATTATCAGATGCTTTTCAGGTGGCCTTTTTTCCTTTTAATGCACGACAGCATGACCTTGCTACTGCTAATATCTCTGCTTTTCAACTTGTTCAAAGCATTCACTGTGAAGCTTTGTATTGCTTCATATTTGTGTTTTCTGTGCTATAATTATACTGATAATTCAGCTAAGATTAAAGCCTTCTGGAGGTAAGTAGAGCAGCAACACTTTCTCTGCTATAAGCTAATTTTGCCGCTTCCCTCAATTCCCCACCTTGCATAGCTCACTAATGCCACACAAGCTGTGGTCACTTGGCTTCTGTCTCGGACTGCTCCTGCTGCCCTTTTGCCTTCACCAGGGGTCTGATCTACCCAGGTCTGCATCTCTGGCTTAAAAAATCCACCCTCTATCCATCAGGGAACGCACAGCTAGTGCTGGCTGCCTCCATGGTCCAATTTTCTTATCTCCTTCCTTCCCATGAGAACAGTATCCAAGCAGTGTCCTCCATCCCCTCCCTTTTTTCAAGTGCTAAATAATGCTACTTGAGAAGTTTGGTTTGCCTGGATTTTTTTTTTTTTTTTGAAAGCAAGTGTGAGAAATGTATTAATAATTAATCCAAACAATTTGGAAGAACTTGAAGCTACAATTAGATAGCCACGGCCATCTGTTGTGAGCAGCAGAACAAGAATTTATTTAATAACTTGGAAAGAGAAAGGGGACTGCCAATCACCTATAGATTTATTCCTTAATAAAGCTTGCACAGTCTCTGCAGAGGGAGATCCAGGTGGTGAAGGAGACACTCCAGACCGTGCTGGTGCAACTTCAGCCAGCCAGGGAGGCAGGAGAAGAAAAGGCTGGAGACTTCCTCTGTGACAGCTGGTGTCCAGGAAAACAAGACTTGAAGGAATAATGAGCAGAAAGAGCTGGTAGGATGACATTAATTCACAAAGGGCTGCTTTTAGTAACTGAATACTGTTTTACCAAGCCTCGGGGATCTCTTCTCTCCCTGCATAACTAATAACTAAATCAATTATGGAGAAACAGAGCCTGGAGGTCTAGCATCAGAAGTATTCTACACAGCCTCACATGTTTTGGCACAGATTGGGAAACAGCTTTCAGAGCAGAGCAGCCCCTGTAAATGTGTAGATTACAAATTGATACATTTCAAGTGAGTCTGCAAAGTTGCCTTTAATGTCGGTGAAATGTTCTCCTTGAAGACTCGTAAACAGTATCTGTCTTCCTTGTGGATTTTTTTCCCTCTGATTTAAAAATGTAGCGTTAAAGCTGGAACAGCTAGTGTTTCTTGAAAAATAGCTGTAGAATAACTTTTTTTTTTTCCTTTGGCTTTAACAGCTTTCTTGCATTGAATGTATTTTCACATTCCTGACAATAATTAAATCAATAGGATGAAATTCAAGCTACCAGAGTTCTTTCAGCTGAAATTTGGACCTCATTTACTCGGTGGTATTGAGTACAGTCAAGGTAACTAACAGCAGCCTCTATGGCAGTAGTCTAGCTCTTTTCATTTAGGTATTAATATAAACTTGCTTTAGTATTACAGGAGTTGTAAAGCACAAAAAAATTACTGTGTTGGTGATTTGTGTTCCTTATATTTAAATATTGTATGAACAGTAAGTCATTTAAGTCTCCTTGTAAAGTTTATTACTACTATTATATTACTTTGATCTTACAGACTTCAGAAGGAATGGAGGGTTTTTTTGCAGTAGACACATACGTATATATACCTATACATACTTAAACATGTATTTTTGTAGGAAATAAAAGCAATGTTCAACTGAAGCCAACTAATGTAAATTATCTATATTTAGATCATTGTTCAAAACAGTTAATGCCTTTAGGAATTCATCATGTACTCTTACTTGGATAGTAATATATCTCTGCTGTCACAAAAAAATCTGCTTCTGCCATGTGTTTCAAAGGGTGAATTTAAAAAAAAAATTTATTTTGAGCCTAGAGGTGAAGAAAATGTCTTGCAATTCAGTACTGTACTTTTTTAATACTATTTTTCTGACATTGTTAGAATGACATTTTTTGTGCTACTTCTGCTACTCATTTTATAGCCACATTGTGAAGGTTTTTGCAAATTTTGAAGGTCACTGGACTACTAGCCCCCTAAGATGGTGTTCATTTTCTTTGTGTGTTTTAATGCTAGTTGAAACTTCTACCTCAGGGTTAAGTACATAGGGAGGGAGAAAAGAAAAAAGTGCCAGGCAGCTGAAGCATGGAACAGGATTATAATTGCATCCAGGAGCATACGGTTGTCAAACCAGGGGTGCAGAGCTCAGGTGGTTTCTGGAGTTGTCAGATCCTCAGGGTGGAATTACAACCCTGTAATTCAGAACATGGTTGACTTTTCTCATTGTGTAATATATGGGCCAGCATCTGTGTTGCGGTAAAGACTCTTGGATCTTCATCTTGCATGGACTATGCTCCTCAGTTCCCATCCCCATCTCAAATGGAGATTTCTTGCTGCTCTGTTTGACAAGTTTGTTTCTCCAAGCTTTTCTGGACAGCCCCTGTTCAACACCTACCTCCCCATAGTGGATTTGGCACTTTCTGAAACTCCCCCGGCCAGATGAGCAAGGCATTTGTCTCCAGCTTGAGGCAGCAGCCGGTGGCACTGACATTCAGCCCATGCGGGGGTCTGGCTCCCCTGGGAAGCCCTGGCTGGGCACACGTTGTAGCCTGGCTGCCTGGGCATGGCTGTCAGCCAGAAAGCACTCATGGAAACCCGCATGAGTTCAGGTAAACAGAAAAAGCACACTGTCACAATAGCGTTTCACAGCTTCAGAGCGCCACTGAATTTTAATAAAAAATCAACTTATGCAACCAGTCTAATAAGACATTGAACTCCTGAGGAGAAGGGAAACTGAATCAGTCATCATTCATGTCATATTTGTATCTGTTAGCATTTACTTTGTGCATAATGTGGACTACTACTACTACTTTAATTTATTATTCCATTAACTTCACTGTTTGTTGTGGGAAGTTAGAGCCAGTAATCATTCCTTTTCTCAGACATGCTGAATAATAAGCATACATTGCATAATATACTTTTTTTTTTTAGTATCAGCTGCCTTTTATCTGTGGATAGAAAACTTTCAAATAAAGCAAAGTATGTTTTTAACTACCCCAATGTCTGTTTGTGTTCTGTGCAGTGTACAAGATTTTAGAAATTTCATCTGAGGGCAGGGGAAAGATGGGGAGGGAGGAGAGGAAATGAGAACCCATGTGTGTGACTATTATTGTGCTGTTGACAGCAGTGATTCCTCTGCTTGGGAAATTCTGTGATGCCTTCTGGAAACAGTCTAAAGATGCATTCAAGACTAGAGTCTCATGGCAAAATGTAGCTATTTTCAGTGTGAAAGGGAAAGAAATATCATGCAGTGAACTATACAGACAGGTAAAACCTGCACTCAAGTCCTGGGTTGGCTCAGCCTGTCTTGCTGTGCAACTGAATCCTGCCTGCCTCCCTCTGTTCCTCACCCAAGGGAGGAAGACTCTTTCCTCACCCCTGAAGAGGGGTCAAGGAAAGGGAAGGGGCATATGACACTACACCAGCTACAGCAGTAGCTGAGGTCAAAGCCATGCTCTCACACACCCTTATTGCCACAGGGAGATGATGAGAGGTAGGAAAGTGACCGTGGTGTCCCAAGGACCACTTTCACACATGCTTGCTAGGACTTTGTCACCTCCAGGTAGACTGGTCTCCTATCACCTGCAAACAGGAATCCAGCCACAAATAAGCCTTTTTTCTACCCATGTTCTCCCTAAGACCCCAGTGCTCAAGGGTTTGAGGAATACATAGAGAAGCACACAGGTGTTGGGCACTGAAATCTCTGCCACAGCAATGGAGAGCTGCAAGACAAGGAAGCAGCTCACCTCAAGCAGTCTATCACATGTGCTTTGAAGGAGGAGGAGTTGGTTGTGTTTAACACACACCCCCCCAGTGTACAGTCTCAAGGCCCAAAGAAGAAAGCAAGGAGGGATAGCACCCCAAAGGGGGTTTAGCTCCAGCCTAATATTTCTTTTCACAATCAATTAGTTAATCTTTTTTTTTAAAAAAAAAAAAAAAGCAACAACAAAAAACCACATGACAGCTCAGGCTTTTGCTATCATTACTTGTTAAATCAAGATAAGCACATCTTTTCTAGAGCACTAGTGAAGACAGTTCAGTAATGGGTCCCAGATAGATAGGCAGAAGTTCTGGAGAGAGCTCCAGGGTGAGATTAGAATAATCCTCATGTATCCTCTTAGTTTGATATCCTATTAAAAATGAGACTGGGACCAAGAGGGTTTTTTTTTGTGGTTTTTTTTTTTTTTTTTTAGTCTCAGAGATTAACATATGCCACAAAGAAGATCTAAAATATTATGCACATGTGGATATTTTTCTGCACTGTTAAGGAGGATAATACAAGTTTCTGGAGAAATAATAAAAAAAAAATAGAAAAAAGGGCCTGTGAATATAGGAGAGTCTTACTGAACCTCAAAAGCAGCCAAGCCAGCAGCCACAGTAAAGCATTTCAGGTTTCTAATGAAGGCTTGAACATGAGGCCTGGGAAAAGAGCATCTGGGGTTGAGTGAGTGTGGAAACATCCAAGTTCTTTACATGCATGGCACTCAGGCTTTCCCTCCTTGCTTTCTTGTCTGGAAGAGCAGTCTTAGGGAAGGGGGTGTTGAGGCATTGTCAGACACACGCAAAGTCAATACATCAATCACTAGCCTATTTGTTCTTACAGTTGCCTGCAAAGTTGAACAAATAGTTTATAATAATAAGCAGCCATACTGGAATACTAAGTGGAGAGAGAGAGAGAATATTAAAGTAATCAGAGTCACAGCTAGGAGACACATGACAGCTCACTGGAGAAATGGGAAATTAAACCTTTCTACAGCGACAATCCAATTTACAAAGGGAGGAAAACAACCTCAAATTTACTTCTTTTCTGACAATGAGCCTGTGAAACACCAAAGGAAGCCCCTCTGGGACATCTTTCCAAATACACTCATCATTTTAAGTGTTATCAGCTGACTCCCAAAACCCAGAGCTTTGCACCCACTCTCAGGCTTCCCTGTTGGAGCAGCCCCAGTGCAAGTCTCAGTTGCACAGCAAGACTGGCTGAGCCAAGCCAGGACCGAGTGCAGGTTTTACCTGTCTGCATAGCTCACTGCATGATGCTTCTGTCCCCCTTTCACACTGGAAATAGCTACATTGTGCCATGAGACTCTTCAGTGAGAGTCAGTATCACAGGGATCAGGGCAGAGATACCAAGGCAAACCTTCCACTCTTTGGGACTGGGAAGGACAACAGGGACATATCCATCTTACTATTTCTGTGCTCTTCCAGAAACTTCAATGTTTTCTTTTCCTATTGTTTCTGGTTTAAAGTGTATTTTCAGGAAGTTCCTCATGCATCCTCCATGACTTGAAATTTAAAAGGACCAGAATTGTTTCATTTCTCTTGGCTTAAGTACAGTAAGGACAAGTAGTGAGGCCTATTCGTTCTTAGCTATTGTCTGAAGAGTTTGGATCATAGCATACTCCTCTACTTTAAATAACATGAGTTCCTGGAGCTGCAGCTAACTGGTTGACAAGGCCATTTCCCCCACTTAGATGGGCAACGTTAAAGAGCAGGAATATGGCATTGCCATCCGCACATGGCACTGACAAGACTTTATGAGTACCGCCAACTCCACTGTCCCCACAAAGTAAAAGCGGACAAGGATTCAGGGAAAAAAAGAGGTACAAGAATGGTTGGAGATCAGGAAAAACTAACTTCCTTATGACAGAAGACCAGCAAAGCGCAGTACAAATAACTTAGCCAACTAAAGACCAAAAGGTGACCACTCATGTCCTTTAGTATTTACATGGGGAAACATTTCCAATGCCTACTGGCTGTTTCATCTAGCAGAATCCTCCACAACAACAACAACACATTTCTAGCACGAGACTAATTGACCATTGGAGCAAGAAACGATCTCTCAAAGTTAAAGCAAGCTTGGGATTTCCCCCCCGCCCCCAGTTGTGAAGAAACATCTGGGATGCAGAAGGGCTAACTCATTTGATTCAGAAAACTCTGCAACACAGGTTTATACAGCCTGCATGATATGTATGGCACTGAGGAATAGTCATAGTGCTTTACTTTAAATATAGGCATTTTTCTTAATGGCTTAAAAAAAAAGGCACAGAAAGAAATGCTTTGATAAACTGTTGTTTTGCTGCAGAGGTGGAGTTGGTGATCAGGGCAGCTGGATGTCTGCAAGTTGGAATAGCCTGTTTACCTACTCTCTGATCTCGACCTTAGCTCAAAAGGGCGAGTGAAACCAAACATTAAGGAAGGGCTTATTGTAAATCTTCCCTGGGATGCCAGGACTGAAACTATTACAAAACAGTTTAGAGCCTGACTAGGCAGGAGCCTTGGGTTTTGAGCCAAATTTCCTCCTTCCTGGGGGCAGGCAGGTTAAATGGGGCTGGGGGCACGTTTCACAGTGTAGCACCAGGCAGGACGGGGCGATGCTGGCACCAGACAGCCAAGGCAGCGCAACAGCGCTTGCAC